TGCTGCTGCTGCTGCTGCTGCTGCTGCCGCTGCTGCTGCTGCTGCTGCTGCTGCTGCTGCTGCTGCTGCTTCTGCTGCTGCTGCTGTTCGGCGCCCACAGCCGGAATGCTGCAACCTCGATTCGGGTCTTGTTCTGTGGCAGGTGTTGAGGGGTTCGCTTCAGCTGCTGCTTCTGCTGTTGCTGCTGCGGGCTTTGCAGCAGGAATCGAATGCACCTCAGCACCTTCGGCTGGGCCAGCAGGAGCCCCTGTGGGCTCCGCAGCATCACCAGCTGCTGCAGCAGCTGCTGCTGCAGTCGAGTCCGCAGCAGCTGCTGCTGCTGCCGCACAGGCAGCTCCTGCTGCTAATGAGCTTGGCTCCCGCGGAGTCCCAGTGACAGCGAGGTCGCCTTGTGGCTGCGGCGTCTTCCTGCTGCTGCAGGCAGCAGATGCAGCAGCTGCTGCAGCAGCTGCTGCTTCGGCCCGATTAAAAGCAGCAGCTACATCTGATACGCGCGAAGCATGACGCGCCGCTTCTGTAGAAGCATTTGCTGCAGCAGCAGGGAAAAAGGCTGGGTCTGCTGGGGCAGAAAGGGGTATCATCAGCTGCGTGCTGCAGTGCATAAGATGCGATGCTGCAGCAGCAGCAGCCGCTGCTGCTGCTTGCTGCAGGCCCAGCAAGTGACTAAACTCCCCCGGTAACTTCAAGCCTGCTGAAGCATTGTGCTGAGACACATTCGACACGATTCGGCCTCGCATTGCTGCTGCTGCAGCTGCTTCACTTGCCTGAAGAGCAAACAACCTGGGCAGTTGCTGCTGCTGCCGCTGCTGCTGCAGTTGCATACTGCCCCCAAAGAGCAGCCGGACATGCTGTGGCGGGCGGCAGCCAAAGAGGAGCAGCAGCAGTTGATCCCACCCAAAGGGAAAAAAGCTGCAGTTTGCGTGTGCGGACGTCGCAGGAACAGCAGCAGCAGCAGCTGCTGCTGCTGCTGCCGCTGCTGCTGAATGCATGCAGTTTCCGTGCAGCGGCAGCAGCTGGCCGAGAGAAGCTGGGCGCAGCGCCGCAAGCGCAGCAAAGTTTGGCAGGTTGGAGAGGCTTTTGAGGTCCTTTACGTGCTCAGCAGCAAACTCGTTCGCCACTTCCTGCTGCAGTTGCTCCTGCTGCTGCAGCTGCTGCAGCTGCAGCGCAGAGCACGGGCTGCTGTTGGACTTGGGCTCATCTGCTGCAGAGTTGAACAGACACCCCAACAGCCACCGAGCTGCCAGCTGCATGCTTGGCATCGGAGCAGCAAACAGCGGCAGCAGCAGCGTCTCAGGAGTCCCTGTGGAGCCTTCGCCTCCGCTGCTGCTGCTGCTGTTACTGCTGGTTTGAAAAAGGCGGGGCCGCGCCGAAGCAGCAGCACAAGCAGCAGCAGCTAGAGGTACGGCCTCAGCATATAGTACCCCTCCAATAGGCGCAGCATCTTGTTTTCCGCTGCTGTTTACCGTGTTGCTGCTAGATGAGACCTCGCCTCTGCTGCTGCTGCTGCCGTTGCTGCAGCTGCTGCTGTACCTGCTGCTGTGCGAGGGTAGCGAGGCGATGTCAATAAGGCACAGCCGAATGCCACAGACAAAAATGCTGTTAAGAACATATTTCGCCGCAGAAGGCTCTTTGTGCTGCTGCTGCTGCTGCTGCTCGGGTTGCTGTTGCTGCGACTGCTGCCTCGACTCTCTCACGAAGAGGGCCTCAAGAGTTAGCGAGGGCTGCAAAACAGCATAAAGCCTCTTAATAAAGCCAAGTATTTGAGGCAGCATGACGTCTGCCTGCTGCTGCTGTTGCCGGGAATACGGCTGCTGCTGCTGCTGCTGCTGCTGCAGCAGCAGCTCCCTCATTTCCTCTACGAGGCCTCGCTGCACCGCAGTCTGCAGCACCAGCGACAGGAACTCTACAAAGCGGTCGCTGACGAGGCGCATGAGCCCATCCACGGACCCGAACAGAGGCAGCGACGCCGCTGCAGCAGCTGCAGCAGCAGCAGCAGCGGCGGCACTGGACGCTGCTGCTGCTGCTTCCATAGCAAGTCGCCGCCTCTCTGCAAATGATGCATATGGGGACCCGTAAATCCAATTATGTGGGACTGGGGGAGGCAGCGGGTAGGCAGTTTGCATGCGCCGCAGCAGGTGCTGCTGCTGCTGCTGCTGCTGCTGCTCCTGATGCAGCACATGCTGATGTACCTGATGGTGGTGCCGCCGCTGTGCCATTTGCTGCAGCTGCAGCCGCTGCAACATTTGGTGCTGCTGCTGTCGATGTAGCATCTGCTGCAGCTGCTGCCGCTGCAGCCACCTCACTTCGTGCTGGTGAAACGAGAGGGCATGCGAGCACCTGTTGCTGCTGCCTCTGCTGCTGCTGCACGGCAGGCCATGCAGCATGTCTCCAGGCAAAACAACATTTGCTGCTGCTGCTGCTGCTTCATCCCCTTCATCTGTGTCTGTCTCTTCTTCCGTCTCTGACCCCGCAGAGAGTGGCCCCTGGCTGGTGCCCTCTTGCAGCCAGCCTCCTGCTGCTGCTGCTGCTGCTGACGTGCAGCCGCTGCTGCTGAATTCAGTTGCTGCAGCAGGACTCAGGGGGCTCACAGAAGACTCTGCCATCAGATACTGTGCTGCAGCAGACAAAAGCGGAGTGACACGCAGCAGCGGTGCCGCTGCTGCTGCTGCTGCTGTGTGCTGCTGTTGCTGCAGCGGGCAGCGCTCCAAAAGTTGCTGCTGGATTTGAAGGCCGGAAAGCTGGTGAGGAGCGAACAGACGCAGCGCAGCACCAATCAGCAGCAGCTGCTGCCTCGCAGCAGCCGAAGCTGCTGCTGCTGCTGGTAAACCCCAAGTGTCGACATGCTGCTGCAGCAGCAGCGGAAGCCGCCTCTTCAGATTTTGCCGTTGGCTGCTGCGAGCGGCACCCTGAGGCTCGCTCTTCCCAACATATTGCTGCTGCTGTTGCTGCTGCTGCTGCTCCTGCTGCTGCTGCTCAAGGAGTGGGCAGTGATAGTTCACGGCCTCCGTCCAGGCAGCAGCAAATGCGTCGGAAGCAAACAGCACAAACGAAGTGCTGCTCAGTGCTGCACTCCGCAGGCACTGAGACAAATAGCCGCAAGCAGCTCTTCCTGTTGCTGCTGTTTCTGTCTTCGCCTGCGCTGCTGCTGCGGTTGCTGCTGAAACTGCAGCAGCAGAGTCGCCAAGAAGCGTCTCTTGCAGCAGCAGCAACCTGTCTCTGTCGGGAAGCAGCAGAAGGGCGGTGCTACACCAGTCTCCCGGAGCTGCTGCTTCTGCTGCAGCTGCTGCAGCTGCGGTGTCGTCTCCGTGTAACTGCAGCAGCGGCACAAGTGCAGCAGCAAGCTGCAGCAGCAGACCTGCATGCGCCTTCTTTAAGAAGGCCGAGATTGGCAGCAGCAGATCTCTGCCCCAATCAAAGACACAATGAGAAGCAGCAGGTGGGTACCAGCCAAGACAGAAGTAGGGGGAATATTCAGAATTGTCCATGTAGCTGCAACTGTTGCTGCTGCTGCTGCTGCTGCTGCTTGGGGCTGCGTTGAAAACAGGAAGACTGCAGCTGCTGCCACTACCTCTGTCGCTGCAGTTGCTGCTGCACCGCTGCCTGCTGCCTCTTCTGCCATTGTAAGACGCATGTGGCTGGGTCAAGTCGTCGTAAGTGCCGCAGCTGTTGCTGCTGCTGCTGCGGCTGCTGCTGCTGCTGCTGCTGCTGCTGGTTGCGCTGTTTTGTATCCGTTCCAGGTGCTGCTGCAGCTGCTGCTGCATTTCCCATGTCTGCTCCCAGCAAAACAGCTCGTCTTGCTTCCCATGCAGGAAGAGGCAGCTGCAGCAGAAGTTGGGGCTGCTGAGGTCAGCAGCAACTGGCCAAACACTCCGCGGCACCACAAGAGATGCTGCTGCTGCTGGAACAAAACTTTTTGCTGCTGCGCGAATCGAGGTGTACGGACACTGCAACACGATGCCCCCCAGATTGTACAAATTCACGGAGCCGCCCCCGCTCCAGCACCTGCCGCTGCTGCTGCTGCTGCTGCTGCTGCTGCTGGTCGTGCGCCAGGCCCCCGAACAATTCGTCATTGCTGCTGCAGCTACCTGCGCAGCAACTACAGCCTCAGGGGTCGCGGTGCTGGGCGGCACGATGGCTGCTGCTGTTGCTGCTGCTGCTGCTGCTGAAGATGCGCATAAGTTGCTGCCGAGAATGGGAAAAAAAAGACAGGGCCGCAGCAGTTCGCAGCCATGATGCTCGCTGTGTTGCTGCTGCTGCTGCTGCTGCTGCTGCTGCCGCTTGTGTGCAATTTGGAGCAGTTGGCGCTGCAGCCTGCTGCAGCGCGCATGCTGGTGCTTTTGCTGCTGCCGAAAAGCAGCACTAAATGCTGCAGCAGCACGAGTCACAGGCCCTGCCCCGATGCTGCAGCCCCACAAAACAACTCTTGCTGCTGGCCACCGCAAGTGCAGCAGCACAAATGACAGCACTGACTGCAGGCAAATATCAACAGACTCTTCACTGGCTCTTCCTGCGCGCAAACCCCAGACGCGTTGTTGCTGCTCTTGCTGCTGCTTTTGCTGCTGTTCGCTGCTGCTGCGCAAGCCCCTCTTCAGCCACTTCCATGCAGCAGCAGCAGCAGCAAAACGGCAGCAGTGGCAAAACGGCAGCAGCAGCAAAACGGCAGCAGCAGCAAAGCGGCAGCAGTAGCTGCAGCGACAAGCCGGCATTCACAATACAAGCAGCAGCAGCAACAAGCAAAAGATGCAACAACAGCAGCAGCAGCAAACCTTGGGAAAGGCCATATCCAGGGTAGTCGAAGGCCAAGACTGCAGCACCTGTTTTGCTTTGTGTCTGCTGCAGCAGCGGCAGCACATCTCTTAGGTCGCTGCCATTGCCATGGGCATAAATAAGAAGAAAGGGGCAGCAAGCTGCTGCTGCTGCTGACCGCAGCGACCCGAGAGCAGCACGGGCCGTCCGCAGCAGCACCGGGGAAGCAGCAGCACCCGAAAAAGAGGCAGCTGGTGGCGCCTCCGCTGCTGCTGCTGCTGCTGCTGCAGCGGCAGCGGCGGGGGCGTCGCTCACTGCATTGCTGCTCTCCCGTTTGCCGCTAGAGTCTGGTTGTGCTGATGCTGCAGCAGCAGCAGCTGCTGCTGCTGCTGCTGGGGGCGCACAGTGAGAGCAAGTGCAGCACCCCTTTTCTTCTACTGGTTTCTGCCCCGAGACAAGCACGCAGCAGCAGCAGCAGCTGCTGCTGCAGCAGTAACCGCTCCAGTCTGTGTCTTGGTTGAGCTGCCTCCGCAGCCTTTCTGCTGCTTCACTTTGCACATAGTAGAGCTGCTGCAGCGCCTCATCCACCAGGGCATTTACCAGTTCCTGCTGCTGCTGCTGCTGCTGCCGTTTTCGCTGCTGCAGCTCCTCCTGCTGGTCGAGCTCCTGCTGCTGCGGGTCTGCACCTTGGTGTTGCTGCGGCTGCTGCTGCCCGTCATGGGGCTTTTGCTGGCGTCTTTGCCGGTGCTGCTGCTGCCGCTGTTGCTGCTGCTGCTGCTGCTCCCCCGGCAGTTTGCTGCTGAGCAGCTTCAGCAGCGAGCGCTGCGTGGCTAGCACCTGCAGCAGCTGGTGCTGCTCTTTCACCGGAAAAAGAACCGCAGATATGCCCTTGGCCTTGCCCCCGCTGCTGCTGCTGCTGCTGCTGCTGCTGTGCAGCAACGGAATAACAATTTGCTGGGGAAAAGAGACAAAGTCATATGTGCTGCTTTCCCCAGAACGTGGGAACATCCCACGGTTTATAAGGCCCTTGAAAAGAGACATTGCCCATTGCTGCTGCTGCTCCTGCTGCCGCTGCTCCTGCTGCCTGCTGCTGCTGGGGCAGCAACTGCTGCTGCTTGCTGCAGCAAGAAATGATGTAGAGAGTCTGCTGACGCTGTGCGCTGCCTGCTGCTGTGTTCTAGCTGCTGCTGCTGTGTGCTTATATTTGCTGAAGTCTGCTGCTGTTTGCTGCTGCCCTCTATTGCCTGTTGCTGTGTGCTGCTGCTTGCTGCTGTGTGCTGCGGCTTGCTGCTCTTTCCTACTTGCCGCTGTGCGCTGCTGCTTGCTGCCGTGTGTCGCTGCGTGCTGCAGTGAGCTGCTACTCGCTGCTGGCTGCTGTGGCCTACAACTGCCTGCTGCTGTGTGCTGCTGCCTGCTGCTGTTTGCTGCTGCTGCTGTGTGCTGCTGCCTGCTGCTGCACCACCTCCTGCCGGAGGAGCAGCAGTGCCTGCTATCGTCTCGCCGTTGTTATTTCCCTCTGTGTCATCGAATAATATTTGCTGCTAATTAAGGCCGTTGCTGCTGCAGCACTTGCAGCTGAGTGCTTGTGCAGAGGGGCTCCGCAGGGCTACTGCCTCACCAGTGGGCCAGCCATCGCCGCTGCTGCTGCTGCTGCTGCTGCTGCTGCTGTTGACGGTGGTGGTGGTATTTCTGCTGGTTATTTCAGTGAGCAGACACAATCTGTCTAGTCAATAAGATGCACTGGTTCCGCGCCGCGACTGTTGCCGCTACGAACCCTGCTGCTGCTGCTGCTGCTGCTGCTGTCTTGGGTTTGTCTGCCTTGCTCGTCGCCGCTGCTGTTGCTCATGTTGCAGGCCACACAAACTACCCAAGTAGCGCACGACTCATGTAGCAGCAATTTAAGCGATTTCAGCTGCTGCTGCTGCAGTCGTTGCTGCTGCTGCTAGGGGACCGTGCCCACGGGGCTGGTGGGAGCCGCGGCGGAGCGATACTTCGCTGCAATGTCTTCGCTGCTGCAGCTGCTGCTTCTCTCGCAGCAAATTTGTTGAATTATTTGCCGCCAAAACTAAAAAGCTTAATACTCAAAAGATGCAGCAACTGCAACAATAGGAGCAGTAGCAGCAACGCAGCTGGCAAGCGTTGCTGCTTGACCGCCGGCTCGTGTGGCGGTCGAGCCGCAGCAGCAGCAGCAGAGGAGCCGCAGCAGCAAAAATCGTGGCAGGAGTCCATTTCCGCATGAACTACACAATATAGACTTATTATTTCAGGTTCGTTGGCTTTGTCGCTGCTGCTTTTGCTGCCGCCGCTGCTGCTGCTGCTGCTGCTGCTGCTCACCGTGAAGAGTGCAGCCACGTCTGCTTCTGGTGTTGGGGTGTCCTAACTGACCCTCTTCTGCATTTCTTGACTCAGATTGAGGCAGAAATGACTCAATGTGCTGCTGAAGGCTTTAAATGGAAAACGGCAGAGGCAGCAGCAGCAGCACCGCCGGTGTCAGCATAGCGAGGCGCAGCAACAGCAACAGCACACGGTTTGCTGCAGGGGAGCCAGCAGAGTGAGCTGCGCTGTAGCAGCAGCAGCATAAACTCAGGCGAGACTTTCCAAGGGCTGTTCCTTGCCTCCAGCCAGGTGTGTTGCTGTCCGAGCCTTCGGCAGCAGCTGCAGCAGCAGGGGCAGCGTCAGTTCAATGTTTGCTGCACTTGGAAATGCAGCAGCAGCAAACCCAAGACGGGAGGTGGATGGGCGCCCACGAATTGCAGGGGAAGCCGGAGGCCGGCTGCGGCTGCGGCAGCAACAAGTGCAACAGCTGCACTGAGAGCAGCAGCAGCAACAGCAGCAGCAGCAGCAGCCAAGCGGGAGCACCTGACAGCAGCAGCAACGCACAGGCAAATGTCAGCCATAGCACAGCAGCAGCAAACTGCAGCTGCGTCATCGTCGTGCACGGCAGCAGCAGCAAACGAGGGGCGGCTCATCTTAACGAAGACAGGCTGTCGATTGCTTGCTGGCCTGTAGTGAGCAGCAGCACGAGCAGCAGCAGCACGAGCAGCAGCAGCACGAGCAGCAGCAGCCGCGGCTTCTTTTGCAGCAGCCCCAACTTACATAGGCAAAGCACCCCTAAAGGCGACACACTAGCCCCGTCTCCTTCATTCACGCCATGGGCAGAGCCCAGCAGCAGCAGCAGCAGCAGCAGCAGCAGCAGCAATAGCAACAGCAATAGCAGCACCAGCACCAGCAGGATGGTGTCTTTAGAGCTTTCACCTTTGCTGCCGCCCGCAAAGATGAGCCAGCAGCAGCAACCGGAGCAGCAGCAGCAGCAGCAGCAAGAGCAGCAGCAGCAGCAGCTGCTGCTGCTGCAGCGCGACTGGTGTGTCAGCGACAGCAGCTCTCCACTCTCTGTACCTTCAGAGCCTGCCTCTTGTCTTTCTTCCCCTCACTGGACTTGCAGCGAACGAGATCCTGCTGCTGCTGCTGCTGCTGCTGTCAAGCACGCCTTCGCGCTGCCGCCGCTTTCTGCTGCTCGTGCTGCAGCAGGAAACGCCGAACCGACAGCAGCAGCACATGCAGCAGCAATAGAAGCAGCAACACTTGCTGCTGATGATGAAGGTGGCTCTGTTGGACCTCCCAAAATGTGTCTCCGCCGCCCCGGAGCTAATACAGCATATTTTGCCTTGGACCCTGTTGAGCAGCAGCAGCAGCAGCAACAGCAGCAACAGCAGCAACAGCAACAGCAGCAGCAGCAACAAGAGCTTCCACGTACCTCTAGCACATTTGCTGCACCTCCACGGTCCGTAGACTCCGTCAAAGTGACGGCAGCACCAGGAGCTAGAGCAGCAGCAGCAGCACCAGCAGCAGCAACAGCAGCAGCAGCAGAACAGGATGCCATGCCCATTGGGAAGGCACTAGCGGCTCTTGTTGAAGGAGAGCATAAGGACCTGCAGCACCAGCAGCAGCAGCTGCGGAGACTTTCGTATGCTGCTGCTCCGTGTGAGGGATGGGGAATTTCTGTGTCTTGTACTTGCAGCAGTGGGCTGTCCGTTGCTCCAGCTGCTGCTGCTGCTGCTTCTGCTGCTGCTGCTGCCCCTGCTGCTGGCGATGCTGCAGCTTTAGCAGCAGCTGATGGTGACTTGCGGCAGCAAAGCTTACCAAAGGGCTCTTCAGCAGCAGGATCAGGCGCAGCAGGGCAGCAGCCTCAGCCAGACGAGCAGCAGCAGCCACAACGGCAGCAGCAACAGCAGCAGCAACTGCAGCAGCAACTACAGCAGCAGCAGCAGGCAGAGGGGCGGCAGCAGCAGCGGCAGCCGGAAGAGCAGCAGGACCAGCAGCCTCCACCAAAAGAGCAGCAACAGCAGCAGCAACAGCAGCAGCAGCAGCAGCAGCAGCAGCAGCAGCAGCAGCAGCGGTCAGTGCGGTGCTCGCCCCGCAGCTTTCTCTTAAGCGTCTTCGATGGCCATGACTCTGATGTTGCTGCTGAATTTGCTGCTCAGGCTTTGCCGCTGCTGGCAGCTTCCCGTTTGCCTCGACACATAGCAGCGGGGCAGCAGCACGAAGTTGCTGCTGCTGCTGTTGCTGCCTTTGCTGCTCTAGACAACCTGTTCAGGTAAACGGGCGCCGCTGCTGCTGCTTCCCCGTGCTGCTGCTGCTGTGGTGCTGCTGCCGCTGCTGCTGCTGCTACCGCCGCAGCAGCAAGCGGCTGTCCTGCGCCGCGCCCGCTCAAATACTCCCTTCCGCTGCAGCGCCCGCGTGCACTACCCTTCGCACCCGTTCAGCTGCTGCTGCTGCTGCTGCTGCTGCTGCTGCTGTTTGCTGACAGGCAGCGGTGCAAGGTAATAGAACAGCGGACCAACTTGCCCTGCACCAGCGGCTGCTGCGCCATCAGCGCCTTGCTGCAGGGCCCTCATCTCTTTGTATTCAATTTAGGGGATTGCCGCTGCGTCTTTGTGACTCTCAAAGTTGCTGCTGAGGGGCAGCAGCAGCAGCAGCAGCAGCTGCAGCAGCGAGGGGACCAGCCGAGCGAGAACGGTGAGCAGCAAAGAGCAGCAAATGTTGCAGCGCACTGACGAGAGCAGCAGCAACAGCACAAGGCAGGGAAGAGCTGCTTCTGTGTCTGGATGCAACCCCAACACTCTATGTAGCAGCAATAGCAGCAATAGCAGCAACAGCAGCAACAGCAGCAGCAGCAGCAGCAGCAGAAATCGCCAGGGACAGAAAGAGGTCACGAGGGCTGTCTGCAGCTCTTCTCTTTATCTGCGTGCTGCTCTGAGGCGTTCAGGGGAAAGGAGCCCTGCTGCAGCATCTCCAAATGTAGCAACGGAAACAGAAACAGCAGCAGCAGCAGCAGCTGCTGCTGCTGCTGCAGTAACGTGGGAGCAGCAGCCGTGTGAGCAGCTCCTGCTCGAGCTCGACTCCTCTTGTCGCTCTCAGTGTCTTGTCTCTTCTATTCCGCAGACTTCGAAGTCGAGAGCCGCGCTCCGGCGCAGCAGCAGCAGCAGCAGCAGCATCATCGGCTGCTGCAGCGGCAGCCGCAGCGGCTGCCGCAGCGGCTGCGCGGAGTGCAGCAGTCGCAGCGGCTCCTTCTCACCTGCCAACAACAGCAGCGGCAGCAGCAGCAGCAGCGGCAGCAGCAGCAGCAACAGCTTCTGCGAGGTGCCGTTGCATGCGCCTGCATCACCCGGCCCTGCTAGAAATGCCGCCTGCAGCAGCAGCAGCAGCAGCTCCGCTGCAGCCGGCGCGCAGGGCAGTATCCGTGTCCCGGGCAGCAGCAGCAGCAGCAGCAGCGGGAGGGGCGCGAGCAACAGCAGCAGCAGCCCGAGCTTCCCGCTGCGCTGCAGCGCGGGCCCGAGCTCGGCGGCGAGCCCGCGCGCGCAGCAGCAGCAGCAGCAGCAGCGCAGCAACAGCAGCAGCAGGGGCGGGAGCGGGCTGGCGCTGAGCTTCCAGTGGCTGAGCAGGGACCTGCGGGCCAGTGCTGCTTGGGAGCAGCAGCGGCTGCAGCAGCTAGCAGCAGCAATTGAGGGGGGGAGGCTCGGGGGAGTTTTGGAGCCCTCGAGATCTTTTGGGGACTTCGACGTGAAGGATTTGCTGCCAGCAGGTGCGGTGTCTGTACACCCCGAGGTGGCCTACTTGCCCATTTGCTGCCCCGGCCTGCTGCTGCTGGCTTCCGACGGGCTGTGGGATTCTGTGGGGCCCCACGAGCTGGCTTGCTGCTTGCTGCAGGTCCCCGCGGTCTGGGGGCCCCTCCGCAACGCCGCGCTGCTGCACCACCAGCAGCAGCAGCGGCTGCAGCAGCAGCAGCAGCAGCAGCGGGAAACGGGGGCCCGCGGCGCGGCGGGAAGGCCCGGGACGCAGCAGCAGACGAGCGGTAAACCCAGCTGCAGCAGCAGCAGCAACGGCAGCGGCAGAGTGTGTGCAGCAGGGCTTGCTGCTGCAGGCGTGCCGCCTGCTGCTGCTGCTGCTGCTGCTGCTGCTGCTGCTGATGTGCCCCACTCGCTGCTAGTTCCTTCTGCTTCGGCCTTGTCTCTCTTGAGCTACAAGCTGCTGCGCAGGGCCAAAAAGCTGGGCAGCGAAGATGACACAACTTGTCTCACAGCGTTTCTTAAACCCCTCCCAGCCACGTAGCAGCAGCAGCAGCAGCAGCAGCAGCAGCAGCAGCAGCAGCAGCAGCAGCAGCAGGTGAGACTGCTGTTCGTGCTGCCGGGAGGGTTTGTTACCGTCGGTGTAGTGGTTGCCGAGCAAGCGACCTTGCTGCAACAGAGACAGCTGCTGCAGCTGGAGCAGCAACAACAGCAGCAGCAGCAGCAACAGCAACAGCAGATTCACGGACAACTGCTCCTGCTGCTTCGTCATATTGCTTCTGCAGCTAGTGCTGCAGCTGCTGCTCCCCGTTGCCATCGCAGCAGCACCTGCTGCTGTTGCTGCTGCTGCTGGCAACGCGTGCATATGCTGCTGCAGCAGCAACAGAAGCACGAATGCATCAATAGATAGAACTTTCAGGTGTACGTACTGCTGCAGAAGACCTTGAGTGCAGGTTTGCACCTGCTGCAGCAGCAGCAGCAAAATAGCGCAGCAGCTTTCGAGACATTCAAGAGTCCTGTCTTGTTCTTTATTTTCTTTTTTTGGTGGACAACAGCAAATTACTTTTCTATAGAAATCTTCCGCTTGACTTGATCTGTACATACACCTCAGCGCCCAGCCAGCTCTAAACCCTAAACCCTGAGCCCTAGACTCCAAACCCTAAACCCTAAACCCTCAGCTGTAACCAGCACTCCAATAAATGCAATATCTACAAATTAAAAATATATATTTGATCTTTGTCCATATACAAACGCGTCACTGGAGACGCAGAAACATCTTTCCATACATACCTATTTATGTTTTACATCTTTTAAATAATTATTTATTTATAAACTTAAAAATAAACAATTCGTCTCATAAATACTGTTTATTGGGGTGTACAGACACCGGAAGCAGCGAAATCGTTCAAGTTTCTCACTTCGTGCTGTGTCGCGTGAGTACATACACTCATTATTTTTTATTCATTATTTATTATTTATCATTTATTTATTTATTTATTTATTTTGTAATTATTTATTCATGTTTATCTTCAGCGTGTAGTTTTTCATTTGTGCACAAGTACAGAAAGTTGAACTAGATGTGCGTGTGGTGGAGTGTACGTACACGCCTCATTTCCTCAGATAACAAATGATATGTACACAAATGCATTTAAATATATATTTAAATATATATTTAAATATATATTTAAATATGTATTTAAATATGTATTTAAATATATATTAAAACATATATTTAGAAATATATTTAAACATATATTTAAATATATAAGTACATATATTTATGCATGCACAACGGCCCAAGGTTGGCTGGCAGCAAAAGTGAGTGATGAAGTGTATATACAGAACTTTTCGGAGAACGATATATTTAAATAAGTCCATTTGCATGCATTTGGATGCATTTGCATGCATTTGGATGCATTTGCATGCATTTGCATGCATTTGCATGCATTTGCATGCATTTGCATGCATTTGCATGCATTTGCATGTATTTGCATGCATTTTCATGCAAAATGTTTAAAGAAACGCAAAGTATATCTACGGAAAAAGAAAAAAGAAAAATTGAGAAACTGAAATGTAAATGAGGCGTAAAGAGTTCTGCGGTGTACAGACAGCACAACCTCTGGGGCACTGATGTTAATATAAACCAAAAACAAAAAAGAATTAATAAAATAAAATGAAATTAATTGTTAAATCAAGAATGGATATTAAATAGTGAGCTTTGGCTCCATTTGGCTTTTTAGAAACGAGAGGCACAACTGCTGCAGTGGCCCTAACAGTTCGTTCCCATAGTGCTCTACCACCTGCTGGTGCTGCTGCTGCTGCTGCTGCAGCTGCTGCAGCAGCAGCAGCAGCAGCTAGGCGTGAGAGCTTAAGTCCAGGGTTGTCTAGTCAATGTCCCAGCAGTGCAGCCAGAGTAAACCCTAAACCCTAGAGCCTCCTAAGCCCTAAGTTCTAAACACTAAACCCTAGGGCTTAAACACCTAAACGCCAAAACCCTAAACCCTAATGAATAAACCCTTGGCCTCTAAACTCGCTACCGAACACCCACAAGACCAGGAAGCAAAAAGCCCAAAAAGGCCTGCAGCAAAGTGAGAGTGCAAACTCACAAGGCCAGCGCAGCAGCTGATTGCAAGCTGCACTGGACCAGTGGTCCAGTGGACCACTGGACCACTCGTTATATCTTATCTTAACTATGGGCTTTTCGCTTTACCCGCAGCAGCCCCTCTTGCGGAAAGGACGCAGCAAACTAAAACTCTAATCTTGAGGCTCTTTTGGCAGCTTTCTGAGCCCCACTAGTGCAGCAGGAAGCAGCAAAATAGAAAAAAAGACAGAAGTGCAGCAGCTGCTGCTCAGCTCCGTGCTGCGGCAGTGCTGCACCTTGCCATTTGCTGCTGCTGGCGTCGAGACTCCCGCTGTCTACGACTTTGGCCCGCGAGATCGCAAAATGTTTTCTTATATTTTTATTTTTTCTTATTTTTTGTTTTAAAATTATATTTTTTGCTGCTGAATGCTTATTCTTTTGTTTTCAACTCGCAGAGCGCACTGCAATGCACACATGCACAGACACCCGGGCCGCAGGCTCTGCTGGTAGGGGCCCCACTGAGGCCTCTAGCTGTTTATATCTGTGCAGAAAAGCACTTAAATGTATTTAATTAATTGTTAAAGTTAAAAATAAAATAAACTAGGAACATTTCTCGGTGAAAAGGAGCGCGTGCATGCAGAAAGGCGCGCAGCTGCAGCCCCAGCTCACCGCGCTTCCCCGCCGCAGCAGCGCAGCAGCGCAGCAGCGGCAGCTGGGAGCAGCAGCAGCAGCAGCTACTGGCTCCTCGCATTTGTTGTTTTCTGCCAATCTCTGGCAGAAAAACAACAAATCCCAATTAAAAAATTAAAAAAACTTTAATTCTTTTGTGGGCTCGCTTGGCTGCTGGCTGGGAGTGCTGCTCTGTGGCGCCGGCTGGGGCGCAGCGGCCACCGCAGCAGCAGCAGCAGAAGCAGCAGCAGTTAATTTTTTCGTTTCTCGTCTTTAAGTGGATCTTTTCGCTTTCTCAAAAATGAAGAAAAGGGAAAATTGAATGAGGCAAGTTAATGTCTTATTGAGGTGTTTGCTGCTGCTGCATTTGGGCGCTGCAGACGCCCCACAGCATTCTGCATTTCGAGTGGTTTCGGGTCTTTTTCTGCGGTTTCTTTTCCTTTTTTTCTAATAAGTGAATTTTATATGTTGATTTAAACATTTAAATGCATTAAATTCGACGAATTGGCGGCTGCATGCAGCGAATTGGTGATTTTGGTCTCTCTTCATCGCCAGAGCCCAGGGGATGAGAACGATGGCGTGGCTGCGGCCGCAGTGCTGCTCACTGATGATGCATCCATCAATGCTGCCTTCCTTCTGAAAAAAGGGTTTTAATTTGAAATTCTTTTTATTTTTTGTTTTCTGTTTTCAAAACTGTTTTTATTTCCGAGTTTTGTTCGAAATTAACTCGAGATCGCGGTGATGCATTTAGGAATCCAACCCCGACGCCCAGAAGCTGGGGAGTAAAGGAACTCGAGCTTTTTAACCCTGAGCCTCTTTTTATTCGTTTTTTAAGTTATTTTGCATTTATAATAATTCTTTTTATCATTTTATTTTCAATTTTTCTTTTTATTCCGTCTTTAATTGATTTTCTTTCCTTCCTTCGTTCATGTTTGTGGCAGCGGCGCAGCAGCGGATGATCCATTTTTTTCTGAATTCAAAAAGTTGAACTTTTATTTCCTCTAAGAAGTACTGAGCGCCTCTTAAGTTCTGCATGCGTTTTCAATTCTTTATTATTCAAATTGTGTTTAATTATTTTAATTCTTTTTATTTGTTTTAATTTTCATTTTAATTGTTTGAATGGCTTGAAGGCGAGGTGATGATTTCTCATCTGTCAATCATCTGCTTACTGATGATCTTTTTCCCACGTCTTTTCTGACCTGCCTAATTCTGCATTTTGCTGCACACATTTGTTGCTGCTGCTGCAGCATTTGCTGCTGCTGCTGCAGCATTTGCTGCTGCTGCTGCTGCAGTGTTTCGGTGTATCGAAGGCTTGCCAAATTAGCAGCAGCAATTTGGCGAGTTCAAAAGACACCGCAGACCGACTGGGGCCCCACGGGTGGCGGGGCGTTTTGCTGCATAGCGTCAATGTCAATTTGTGTGGGCAACAGCAGCAATTGCTTTTTATCATTTGCTGCTGCAGTTGCTGCTGCTGCAGTTGCTGCAGCAGCTGCTGCTGCGCTGTTCCTCTGTTCATGTGGCTGGTTGCTGCGTCGCGCGTTTGTTTTCAGGTGTACGTACGCCTCGAGGCACCCGGCGGAGTGTGTCGTAGCGCACGGACTGAGCAGCTGCTGCTGCTGCAGCAGCAGCAGCAGCAGCAGCTTTTCAGCTACGGGGAAAGTCCCCGAGCCAGCAAGCCGCGAGGGTTAGGAGTTATGCTCATCCAGTTTTGTGCGCAGCTCTCAGCTAGCTAGCTAGCTAGCTAGCTAGCTGCCCTGAGACCGTTAGTGGCAGCAGGGTTTGAGCGGCACAAAATGTATAGCGATTGGCGGCGAGCAGCAGCAGCAGCAGCAGCGAACTGCTGCTGCTGCTGCTGCTGCTTCCCCGCCGCGTATCAGGCGTGAGCTTATGCACTCGGTGTACATACAGCAGCACCAACAGGATGGGGCTTACGTCTGGGTTGCCTCTCTCCCTTTGCTTCTCCCTGAACCCTGCTGCTGCTGCAGCAGCAGCAGCAACTGCAGCAGCTGCAACAGCAGCAGCAGCAGCAGCAGCGTGCAGCGGAGCCCGGCTTTCTCTGCAACGCACGGGGCGCTGCGGGGCTGTGGGGCCCCGCAGCAGCTCAGCAGCAGAGGGGAGGGTCTGAGATGCCATTTCCTGCAAGCGCGGGGGCGCGTAGTGCGTCAGCTTCCTACCAGAAACTTGCTGCTGCTGCTGCTGCTGCTGCAGCAGCGCGCTGCGCTGCAGCGCTGTCTCCCGGCGGAGCCAGCCGCTGCAGCAGCAGCAGCACCGGCCGCCGCGGCCGCAGCTTGTGA